CCCCCCCCCAGCTGCCCTTCCCTCAAAATTTCAGGAGGTTTCATTGGTTTGCCATTGGTAGCAGCAAGCCCGTAAAGGGTGTCTGTGACTCTGGTTGTTTGAAACGTTTTTGTAAACTTTAGGGTGGGTGGGAGGGATGCTTCTTCCACTGTCGATTGTTTAAAAAAAATTGCCAAGGGGGGAAAATAGGCTGGATGTGGATGGCCTTAAAGTTTTGAAAGAGAAAAATCTGCTGGTAATTTTTCTTAGAAATGACCGCTCTTGACTTTGCCGCTGGACCCCCCCAGCAGACCAGGGGGACAGGAGCAAAGCCGCCCAGGCGGCTTTGCTCCCGGGCAAACGAGCAAAGCTGCCCAGGCGGCGGCTTTCCTCGGGTGTCCCTGGTCTGCTGGGGGGAGGGGGGCCAGCAGCTTTGCTGGACCCCCCCAGCAGACCAGGGAGACCGGGAGAAGCTTCTCTCGCCCCAGAAGACACGGGTGGCGACCCGTCGCCCATGAGCTCCGGGGCGAGAAAAGCCCCGTTCGTAAGTGCAGATCCGACATAAGTCGGATCCGCGTAAGTCGGGGGCTGCCTGTATCAATCTCTTGCAGAGGAAAGGACTGGATTCCATATGGCCTATTGGGCGGAACATACATTTAGAATATCGTTCTTTCCTCAATCCATAGCAGATCTCCCACAGATGTCAGTGGAAGGCTTGCAAAGATATTAAGATAAAATACAGTACTTATTTAGTAACTAAAATTTATTCATATCCTCACATTCACGAGAAAATAGGCTCTCCTTTAAGCCACCACTATGTCCACCCTTCTCTTTCTCTCCCTTTTATCTGTGTTCCCTCTACTATACCTCTGCATTTGCTCCCGTTGATTTTCGAGTTGCAACCAAGGGATTCATTCACTTTCCTATGCTTTCAAATGATCCATAATGGAATATTTGATGTTGTCTTTAAGTATCACTGGCTTTTGGAATTCACCATAGCTATCTATTTCAGACCTCTGCAGATTCAGGCAGACATAACCAGTTTAGATTGGGAAGGATCTCTCTCTGCAGCCATGATGGCTAGAAACTTTCATACAGAAAAACTAGGGGGCAATACCCCCCTGCTTGCTAACCCCCTCTCTAGACAGCTCCAACTCTCCACCCAGCCGACAGGGAGGGCCAGGCCAAGGCATGGTAGCCCTGGCCTGATCTCCACCTCTAGCAGGGGGCCAGACCAAGTCTGGTTCGGTTCCCTCTCTCTGGCCACTAGGAATGGA